TCATCATCTGATGATTCAATAAGTTCTATTGTTTGAATTGAAATATTAAATTCTTTTTCAGGCATTTTATTTTTTTTAGAATTGGAATTTTCTTTTTCAGACCAAGATCTTTTTGGGTTATATTGATTTGACATTTTTAAATGAATTAATTATTAAAAAATTTTTATTTTTTTTTTTAATTTTTTTGAAATTGATAAAAATTGAGGCAAAAATTACAATGATTTATAATTATTCAAATTATGCAAAGCAAAATTAAGAATGAATCAAGACAATATTAAAATTACAAAATGAAGATAGTATATATAGTTAAAGAAACATGGTTAGTTAAGTTTCAAAATATCCAATTCCAAACAATATTAAGTTATATTTTCTTGGATAATATTAAGAGCTATTTGACAAAATGTGAATAGTAATAAAATAATGTTAAGGGGAGAAATTGTTTCAAAGCTAAGGTAGGGATTTTGTTACAGCCATGATTTGATATTTTTAATTTTTAATTACACGGATTTTTGGATTTTTTTCTGCACAAATTTATAGTCATACAAATTCCGTGTAACGTGATACCCGCCCGTTCCGCCCGCTCAATTTTTCTCACTGCTTACCACTCTATTTATTATTTAAAATAAAATGAAAAACCAATAATTAATATGTTTTCAAAAACAATGATATTGACTGTAATAATAATACAAAATACTTATGGAACTATTTATTATTTAAAATCAAATGAAACCTAATAGTTAGTATTTTTTCAAAAACAATGATATTTGACTATAATGATGTTTATTGCAATAGCTAAATGAAATACCTCACTTCTCCAAGTTATTGTTATCACCCATTGGACTTCCTAAAGCAACAGCAGCAAAGATAGCCAAAAAGAGAAGAGAAAAATTGAATTTCATTTTGATTTATTCAGTTAATTCTTAGTGAATTTTGGTTTTTTTCAAATTGTATGCAGTTGAGAAATTTATAAAAAATTTATAGTTATTTTAGGATTTTAGTTAATCTTATTCTTCAAATCACAAATAAATAAATCCTTTAAATATTCAATATAATGTTAATTAAACAAGGAATTGATTGTTGATCGTGAAGGGGCTGTGTGCATATATCATACAGAAAAGTGAATAATACAATGACAGAAAAAAGAAAAAAATGCAAATGGTTATTTACTTTTAGGTGCATATTGAAGATAAACGGCAAGTATCAACTTCATTATAAACAATCAAAGAGAAAATTAATTCTAGAATGACAAAATGTCCCACTTTAATTATAAATCTTGTTATATTATTATGCAGAATGAGAATTTTATTTAATTGGTGATTCGTGAATAAATCAGAGAAATGTCAATCATTTTAATATAAATTTTTGGTGCTAATTAATATTAATAAAATTAAAAAACTTTCAAATCTCAGTGTCCACACTTACAAATCCTCATGTCTACACAAAATTTTAAAAGACAACTTTTAGCAACTGGTGAGATTGACAATAATCTTCATTATGGTCATTTTGCTGAAAATTGGTGGTATTTTCTAAATGTAAAAAATAGTCAAAATAAACAAATATGCTTTCCAATACGCATCAACATGAGAATTCAAATCGTGTTAAATGGAAAAGAATTTATCATTAGAGTAGTTCACAACACAAAAGAAAATAATTTAAAGCCTGGTTATATATGCGAATCAGACTTGGATTCAGAAATTTGCTCATCTACAAGTGAAGTAGTAATGAAACTTGGAAAAGACATTTTAATGAAAACACATGTTTTTCTGGACCAAATGTTTTAGGTTTTAATGATGAAGTGATGGCAAAACAATTGCAGGTGGATGTATCTTTTTTTCCTTTTAAAATTGTTGTTAATGATATTACAGTTTTTGTATCATCTATAGGTAGTTCAGATCAGGAAGAGTTGAATTTTGCAGGTCCTGGATATCAATCTTCATTTCATTTTAAATATTCTGGTAATCGATCTTTAATATGCCAATCAATAATTGATACAGCATGTCAAATTGATATATATTTTTGAGGGAAAATAGTTTGCACGCATACTGGAAAGACACCAGCTGATGTTTGGAATAAGTTTGATATTTTGAAAAAATATAATGGAAAAGAATTATTTGGCCTTTCTGATCCAACTGTCATACAAGAAATTCAAAATTATATAAATACACCTTACTGCACATCGTCCAATTGGAATAATATTGATAAAATGACATTTGTATTTGAGAAGTGCCTAAAAAGGAAGATAGCAGTTTCCAATTTAAATTGGCATCAATTTTTTATTAAATGGAGACAACAATTAACGAATGTTATAGAATTTACTTCACACCTCACCACCATATATCCTCCAGGTTTTGAAATTACTGATACCATATTGGGAGCATGGAGGAGAATGTTGCAAGGTGTTGGATGCACTAATATAACACCATATAAAAAAAATATATCAAGAGTAAGAAAAAAAAAATTTTTTTTGCAAAAGATTGTTGGAATCAAGAATAAGAATTTAATTATATAACAAATAATATTTTATTATTATAACTGATAAATATCAATTTTTTGTTCAATTATCACATAAAATAGCTTGAATTTTGGACATGTTCAGAAAATGTAGAAGGGATATCAAGTGATTGTGCTTTAATGCTTTATTTATATGAAAATAATTTTATAAATGGTATTCCATACAATAAAGTAGTGAAAGAACTATCAGCAAAAAATGATAAGCTTCAAAAAAAAATTGATAAATTTTGGGATAGTTTCAATGTTTCAATTAAAATGAATAATCGTGGGTTGGATGGGAAACAAAAAATTTTATCAGTGATTGCTGATAATTTTTTGTATCGTGAATTGCAAGATAACTTGAAGGTAGTATTTATGACTATATATAATTCATGTTTGCACAGAATTATTAACCTTATGCTGCAAAAATTTTTTTAGATTTCAAACGATCTAATAAATGCTGCAAGAATATATTCACGAGTTAATGGCCCTGGTTGTGTTGCAAATGAAAGACCCATAGTTTCTCAAAGTAGGATATCAGAAATCAAAAGTCAAGAACTTGAGGCTTTTTTTATGGATAAAGACAATGTAACAATGAGTTCTTACAAAGTTGATTCAAAGACAAACCTTCCAATTCTTTATTTGAAGGATAATAAAGAACAACTCTGGAAAAAATTTGAGGCTATCTATTCTGATGGAGTTAAACGGACATCATTTATGGCACATTTGGCAAGTGGCCCATATGTGTATCGAAAGGATTTGGGTGGACTTTGTGACATTTGCAATGAATATTTTTATGAAGTTTTTAATGTGTTGAATAGCTTAATTCAATTAAACATTGTTGATAAAGAAGAAAGGGTAACTTAATATAAAATAAATATGTATACTTCATTTAATAGGTCTACAAATAATAATTATATACATTATATTTATAGAATAGATTAATTACTGATTTAGAAAAATTGCAAATTCATTTGAGAAGAAGATTTGAAGAGGAACTTAACATGAATAATGATGGCACAACAATGCATGTAGACACAATTAATCATTGTTTGCTTTATGCATTTGGTGAGTGCAATGAGCAACACAATGAGCATTGCATTGCATGTGATCAGTTATTTGTTGTAATACAAAATCTTATCAACAAATTTGAAGAACAAAAATCAACAATTGAGGAATGTCGAGACAAATTATATTATTTTTTGGCTCATCAAGCAAGGAAAGTTTATTTAAATAGTCAATTTAAAGCTAGGTTGGCAAATTTAGATAATAATGGGGCTATTTTAATTTGTGACTATAAGATGCGTATTTTACCCAAAAGTGCAAGGGAAATGAAAGTGCAATTTTTTGGTAAAAGAGGATGGACATTGCATACAATCTTGGTTTTCACCAAATCTGATACTAACCAGTTCAATGTTCAAGCATTTGACCATTGGAGTACTGACACCAAGCAAGATGCTTGGTTTACAGTTTCTTCTTTTGATTCTGTTTTTGAAACTTTAGACCCACGACCACAATGGATTGAGGTATTTTCAGACAATGGTGCCCATTATCACAACTCAGAATTAATGACTATTGTTGCCAATTGGTACTTGTGGTATAATATTGAAGTTCGTGGTTGGTATTTTTTTGAACCTGGGGAGGCAAAATCAACTGTTGATTCTCATCATGCACAGGCAAGCTTTGTTATAATGCTATTATATTAAATTCTTACATCTTTATTAATTAGAAAAATTGTTTTATTAGATTTCACATGCCATCAAGAGATACATATGTATTGGGCACAATTTGGATGAGGGAAATAAAATAGAAAAAGCAATAGTTGGCTTAAAGGGAACTTCTGTTGCACATCTAGAGCCAACATGCCAAAATCATAAGATTAAAACCATTGAAGGCATCACAAAATTGTTTTACTTTGAATGGCCAATCAAAGGTGATTATGCTGGGTTTATACAAGCTCAATGTCTACCACATATTGGAGAAACCTTACGATTTTCACCATCAAAGATAAACAAGCCAACACCCCTAGTTTCTTCTCATTCAATACCTGAAGAAAAATGGAATATTTCATTGTCTAATACTCAAGGTAAAAAATATGAGATGCATTTTATTATATTTTTATATTCATATTCATATGATCTTTTTTTAATTTTTATAGATACAAGTATACAAACCAGGGATATTGGAACAAAAAATAACACCAGGACATTAGGTATAATCTATTACTTCTTGTTTATTATATTGTTGATAATTTTGATTAATGATTGTTACATGGGTATTTAATATAGATGCCAAATTTGAACTAGAAAAGGGATGGGCATTGAAAAGCAAACAAAAATATAAACAAAATTTATCAATTGTTTTTTATAATTTACTAATTTATTATTTATATAAATTATACTGGCACTTTAATATAGTGTCATGTATTTGTATCTGAAGCGCAGTCAAATCAAATACTGGTATTTTTGTATATATGCTGAATTATGATTGGTCAATTAGTTCGATGTTGATCTACATTCACATTTATTTATATCATTTACCAATTAATCAATCAATTAAATCAATTAAATCATGGTAAATACCTATATTATATATATGTGCATGTATGCTTTTGCACAAATAATTTATTATGTTGATAAATGCAAGTATAAATGTTTTCTAAAAAAAACAAAAGGCATCAGTAAAAGCTTATAAAAATTCGTAATAGTCACAAGACTGTATTAACAAAACAACTCAATGATCTTAAACAAGAACTTGTTAGTCTTAAAGTACAAAAGATAGCTGGAGGTGCTGCATCAAAATTAACAAAGATGTTTGTAAAAAAATTTTGTATATCAATCAAATCAATTATTATTAATCATTTCCACTTGCCCACTTACTTGTTCATTTATAGTTGAGAAGTTCACAAATCCATTGCAAGAGTAAATACAGTTATTTCACAAACACAACGTGCACAAATTTGACTTTTTTATAAGGGTAAAAAATATAAACCCCTTGATCTTAGACCAAAGAAAACCTGTGCAATTCGTAGAAAGTTGACTAAAGTAAGTTGTTATATTATTTTATTGTGGGGAGCTAAAAAAGTATCATTAAAAACATTAATACTTTTTTTTACATCGATTAGAATGAAGCTTCAAAGAAAACTAGACGGTAATCATTATTACACTTTTGATTTAAGAAAATTTTAAAAATTAATATTTTTTATTTACAAAAAACACTTTTTTAAAACCAGTGCCCATATCAAAGCAATTCATTTTCCACAACATAAATATGCCATAAAAGCATAAGAAATCATTATTAATAACAACAATAAAAAAAAGGAAATATTAAATTTTTTAATAAATCAAATTTGAATTTATAATTAATTTTTGCAATAATGATTTTGGTTAATAAACAAATATTATGACCTTTCTTGACATGAATGAATTTAATTTACATTGCAAAACTTTTTAAGTTAAATGATTTCCAAAGGATCTTTGTCTGATTGACTTACCAATATGTCCACTTTTTGATTATCACCATCTTCTTTTAACAACTTTTCTAGTTTGGGTTTTAATACTTTGGAAAGATATCCTCTCTCAGTATTTGTATGCTCACCTTTATTTTTTTTAGGGGAAAAGATCATTTAAATTTTAGAAATAAATAAATAAAAAATAATTAATTAATTAATATTTACATAAAATCACACTGGTATCTTTTGCCAAAGCTGCTAATACTTCATGGTGTGACATTTCTCCTGTAAAATATAAATCTGCTTTTGCTGGTGATAGCACTGAAACACCTTTAGTTTGAGAGAATAAAAATTTTATTCATAAAATTTTATAATGTGTATATATATTATTTATTTATTTATAATTACCAGATCCTGCGCAAATTCCAATTGTTGAAATTAATCCATCATTATGTCTATGCTTTTCAGCTGTAGCAACTCTTACTAATAATAATTATATAAATATTATGAATAGTTGAATAGATTTTTTCAGCATAATTATTCTTTTTTAATATCAACTCCCTAAATCATTGTTGTTATCTTTATCGTCATATTTATCAATTATTGATTTATATTTACCATGCTTTAACTTCAGATGATTTTTAATTCGTTTAACCACAGTTGATAATGACACTGGTTCTTCTAATGTGAAAAGTCTACCTGCCCCTGCTTCCTCATGTCCTGTAACAACAACAATGACAATGGCATTATTAATAATAAGTATTCATATATATTATACATGTATACATGAATAAATTGATATATATACCTGCAGGTGGATTTTCATTAGGCATTAAAGATATAGATGTTCCTGATCAAAGTCCTTTAGCTAACCAATCATTTACTTTTTCCAAGCACAAAAAAATAAAAATCAACAAAAAATCAATCAATTAATTAAATCAATTAATAAAACTTCCTAAATTTATTACCTCCACCAACACTACAATCAATAGCAGTATGAGGACTATAAACACTAATTCCTTCTGCAATACATTTTAAAATAATGCTTTGTTTTGTATCATTCAAATTTAATTGTTTAAAAGCATGAAATATCGGTGGATGATAAGCCACTATCATTCCAACACTAGGAGTCGGAATGGCTTCCTCAAGAACTATGGGTGTTAAATCTATGGTGAGAAATACACTTGTGGCTGAAGAACGTGGATATTGTGGTTCAACTAGTAGACCTACATTATCCCATTTTGTATGTGCTAATGATAATGGTGCTATTTTTTCAAGAGCTTTAATTACATGTGTTAATAATGACATTTTTTTAAATATTGGGAGTTTTCAAATTAAAATCTCAAATTGATTTACGATCTCTGCGGAAAATCTTAAGAATTTAAGAAATTGATTTATTTATAACAAGAAAAGTTGACCCAAATTTCCAGTGATGTTCATGAGTTCTTTTTTGTTGTTGTAATCATGATGACAAAAGAAAATTATCACTGATGATTACTTAAAAGAAATTTATTGATGATTTCCAGTTTTCATACTCGTGTATTTATAATGGCTCACAATATTTTAAAAATGAATTTATTTATTCAAATGTTGAAAAGTAATATGCTAATCACAATTTGACCAAGTTAGATGCCATTCTAATCCATTCAATTCTTTAAATTAATTAATTTGAAATAATTATTTTTTGCTATTTATGCAATAAATTTATGTAGTAAAAAAACTCTCCATCAGAAGTAGTAGTGAGGTCAATTTTGAATGATATTTAACGTCAATCTACTCTATAGACACCACTTCTTGTCAAATACCCCTTAAATCGACCTCGATACCTCTAAAAGTCATCACATATGGCATGGAAGTCTGTGGGGATAATGGAGTTTATTAGAAATCCATGTATAAAGTTTTATTTATGTTCTCTATAATTTCTTCTAGGTAAGATTTCAATTGTAAAACTGATGCTAAACGTCCATATATACTAATTCATCTTGTCTTGATCAAAGTTTTAAGCCACTTCCTTCAACATCCTTTTCTTTAATCAATTGATCGAGTAGTTCTCTAGGACGGTGTGATTTTTTACAATATTTAATCATTTTTTTTGGGGGGGAAATTATGTGCTGAATGCAACACATCAAATATTTAGTATGAAATGAATCATTTCTCTTGTTTTTTTAAAAAAATTCGCTCCATCATCAGACAGCAATGGACACAATAAACTTATTAATTACAATTTCTTTAAGGATATATTTAATTTTTTCACAAAGGTATTCATTCACTAGTATGACTAAATACTTGATTGACGATCCGTCTATGAATCGCGAAAAACATCCTTCACATTTTATCACGTGACAAATTTTTATTTTTGGTTTCATTTTTGAAAAAGATTTAATTACACATTTTGTTTTTGGAAATTTGAAATGATTTCGATGTTTTAATATAATTTGGAATTTTAAAAACAGTTTCGGAGTTTTGAAATAATTTATTGGAATAAAAGTTCAATCAATAATTTGATGTGATTAAATAATGAATAGTTGAATAATATAGAAACTCCGTTTAAAAATAATTATACCCTCATTTTTGTTGTTATTTTTAATAAGTTGCATATGAAAAAATCTCACTCATCTCTACATCCCCAAGAGCAACCCCTTTTTTTTTCTATATTCTTTTTGTTTCATAACTCAAAATAAAAAAATATTATTTTATAGTATAGTGCAAGACACCTAGTCCCACAACTTTTTATTGGCCTTGTAGATCCTTCTCTAACTCCAAAAATGGAA